GCTAGGGCCAAAACAATGAAAATCTGTGATCTTTTCAAAATCCCACCAAAATTTGGTTTTTTGGGTGAAAACATAAAAGTCCATTTTCTGGCTAAACTATAGGAGCTAGGGCCAAAACAATGAAAATCTGTGATCACTTATGAATCCTACCAAAATTCGATTTTTTGAGTGAAAACCTAAAAGTCCATTTTCTGGCTAACTATAGGAGCTAGGTCCAAAACAATAAAAATCTGTGATCACTTGTAAATCCCACCAAAATTTGGTTTTTTGGGTGAAAAGATAAAAGTCCATTTTCTGGCTAAACTAGAGGAGCTAGGGCCAAAACAATGAAAATCTGTGATCACTTATAAATCCCTCCAAAACTTGGTTTTTTGACTGAAAACATAAAAGTCCATTTTCTGGCTAAACTAGAGGAGCTAGGGCCAAAACAATGAAAATCTGTGATCACTTCAAAATCCCACCAAAATTTGGTTTTTTGGGTGAAACCATAAAAGTCCATTTTCTGGCTAAACTATAGGAGCTAGGGCCAAAACAATGAAAATCTGTGATCACTTGTAAATCCCACCAAAATTTGGTTTTTTGAGTGAAAACATAAAAGTCCATTTTCTGGCTAAACTATAGGAGCTAGGTCCAAAACAATAAAAATCTGTGATCACTTGTAAATCCCACCAAAATTTGGTTTTTTGGGTGAAAACATAAAAGTCCATTTTCTGGCTAAACTATAGGAGCTAGGGCCAAAACAATGAAAATCTGTGATCACTTATGAATCCTACCAAAATTCGATTTTTTGAGTGAAAACATTAAAAGTCCATTTTCTGGCTAAACTAGAGGAGCTAGGCCTAAAACAATGAAAATCTGTGATCACTTTTAAATCCTAACAAAATTCGACTTTTTGAGTGAAAACATAAAAATCCATTTTCTGGCTAAACTATAGGAGCTAGGGCCAAAACAATGAAAATCTGTGATCACTTGTAAATCCCACCAAAATTTGGTTTTTTGAGTGAAAACATAAAAGTCCGTTTTCTGGCTAATCTATAGGAGCTAGGGCCAAAACAATGAAAATCTGTGATCACTTATAAATCCTATCAAAATTCGATTTTTTGAGTGAAAACATAAAAGTCCATTTTCTGGCTAAACTAGAGGAGCTAGGGCCAAAACAATGAAAATCTGTGATCACTTGTAAATCCTACCAAAATTTGGTTTTTTGAGTGAAAACATAAAAGTCCATTTTCTGGCTAAACTAGAGGAGCTAGGGCCAAAACAATGAAAATCTGTGATCACTTGTAAATTGTACTAAAATTTGATTTTGTGAGTGAAAACATAAAGGTTTTGCTGGTCCATATACAAGGCAATGGCCACTCCATAGTCTAATCAATATTGCCCATTCGTTCACGCACTAATCACTACATTCGTTTCTTAGACTAGTCAATAGACACCAGTCGATAGCTGCCTACAACTTTCCTCAACTCTGTTTTAGCATGAGTCAACTTTGGATCCCCCCACCACTCCAAATGTTGGTTCCTTCATAATTTGAACTTTAGTTATTGTTGTTGTAGCTAATAGTTCTCTACAAAGCACATCCATCATATTCATCACACAATAATGTTTGTCATTCCCCAAACATTTGTATAAAAATACAATTTTGTTTGTTGTTGTAGTTGTTTTGTGGTTTTGTTGTTCATTCCTTTATGTACCTCTATATTTGTCATTTTACTCAGGGATGGAAAAGTTGTTACTTCTTTATTTTATTTAGTATTTTTTGACCACGTCTAGCCCATAGAAGTCAATTGACAAATACTAACATAAACAATTCAGTAGATGAGTTAATGATCTATTTCTTTTCATGATGAATATTGAAAGACTAGTTAATAGAATAGTCAATAAACTGGTCCATTGACTAGTCCATAGATCAGTCTGTACAGTTATTAACAGTCATATCTTTAGAATAAAAACCCAAAAATATGTACTGTTTTGTAAAAATTGTACTCTTTCAAAAATTAAGTTTTCCATGCCTGAGTTGGCTACTTTAGTTATTGTTGCTGTGTGCTCTTTTGGGTCGATAAAAGTTTTCTTTGTTTTTGTTTTTATTTCGCTTCTTTTTGATTTTGTTTTTCGTTTTTTGCATGTTTGCTTTTGATTCCTGTTATTTACCTACTGTGATGCATTTAATCTGTCTTTTTACTTATGTATTTTGTTTGACTGTTTGATTTTGTTGCTGCTTTGGGTGAATATTGTTCAATTTTGCTTTGTTCTCTTTTCAAAAAATGTTTGCTTTTGTTTTTGTATGAAAAAATCAAATATTTTCTGCACATTTGTTGTTGACTAAATTTTAATAGTGATATGTTTGAAGCGAACATGATGGATGTTGCAAATCTGTAAACATCGGAGAAAACTACCAATAGGAAAAATTTTGAAAGAGGAAATTTTCGAATGAAATAAATTTTAAAAATGTGTAATATTGAATACTCTGAAGGAGACATATTATAAAAAGTCCAGTTCAATTCTAGTTCAGTTCCAGATCAGTTGTAGTTCAGTTCTAGTTCAGTTCTACTTCAGTTCTAGTTCAGTTCTGGTTTAGTTCTACTTCTGTTCTAGTTCAGTTCTAGTTCAGTTCCAGTTCAGTTCTAGTTCAGTTCTAGTTCAGTTCCAGTTCAGTTCTAGTTCAGTTCTAGTTCAGTTCTAGTTCAGTTCTAGTTCAGTTCAGTTCTAGTTCAATTCTAGTTCAGTTGTAGTTCAATTCTAGTTCGGTTCTAGTTCAGTTCAAGTTCATTTCTAGTTCAGTTCTAGTTTTAGTTCTAGTTCAGTTCAGTTCTAGTTCAGATCTAGTTCAGTTCTAGTTCAGTTCTAGTTCAGTTCTAGTTCAGTTCTAGTTCAGTTCTAGTTCAGTTCTAGTTCAGTTCTAGTTCAGTTCTAGTTCAGTTCTAGGTCAGTTGTAGTTCAGTTCCAGTTCAGTTCTAGTTCAGTTCTAGTTCAGTTCTAGTTCAGTTCTAGTTCAGTTCTAATTCAGTTCTAGTTCAGTTCTAGTTCAGTCTAGTTCAGTTCTAGTTCTAGTTCAGTTCTAGTTCAGTTCTAGTAGTTAGTTCAGTTCTAGTTCAGTTATAGTTCAGTTCTAGTTCAGTTCTAGTTCAGTTCTAGTTCAGTTCTAAGTTCAGTTCTAGTTCAGTTCTAGTTCAGTTCTAGTTCAGTTCTAGTTCCAGTTCTAGTTCAGTTCTAGTTCAGTTCTAGTTAGTTCTAGTTCATTCTAGTTCAGTTCTAGTTCAGTTCTAGTTCAGTTCTAGTTCAGTTCTAGTCAGTTCTAGTTCAGTTCTAGTTCAGTTCTAGTTCAGTTCTAGTTCAGTTCTAGTTCAGTTCTAGTTCAGTTCTAGTTCAGTTCTAGTTCAGTTCTAGTTCAGTTCTAGTTACAGTTCTAGTTCGTTCTAGTTCAGTTCATTTCAGTTCTGTTCAGTTCTAGTTAAGTTTAGTTCAGTTCTAGTTCAGTTCTAGTTCAGTTCTAGTTCAGTTCAGTTCAGTTCTAGTTCAGTTCTAGTTCAGTTCTAGTTCAGTTCTAGTTCAGTTCTAGTTCAGTTTCTAGTTCAGTTTAGTCAGTTCTAGTTCAGTTCTAGTTCAGTTCTAGTTCAGTTCTAGTTCAGTTCTAGTTCAGTTCTAGTTCAGTTCTAGTTCAGTTCTAGTTCAGTCTAGTTCAGTTCTAGTTCAGTTCTAGTTCTAGTTCAGTTCTAGTTCAGTTCTAGTTCAGTTCTAGTTCAGTTCTAGTTCAGTTCTAGTTCAGTCTGTCAGTTCTAGTTTCCAGTTCAGTTTCTAGTTCAGTTCTAGTTCAGTTCTAGTTCAGTTCTAGTTCAGTTCTAGTTCAGTTCTAGTTCAGTTCTAGTTCAGTTCTAGTTCAGTTCTAGTTCAGTTCTAGTTCAGTTCTAGTTCAGTTCTAGTTCAGTTCTAGTTCAGTTCTAGTTCAGTTCTAGTTTCTAGTTCTAGTTCAGTTCTAGTTCAGTTCTAGTTCAGTTCTAGTTCAGTTCTAGTTCAGTTCTAGTTCAGTTCTAGTTCAGTTCTAGTTCAGTTCTAGTTCAGTTCTAGTTCAGAGTTCAGTTCTAGTTCAGTTCTAGTTCAGTTCTAGTTCAGTTCTAGTTCAGTTCTAGTTCAGTTCTAGTTCAGTTCTAGTTCAGTTCTAGTTCAGTTCTAGTTCAGTTCTAGTTCAGTTCTAGTTCAGTTCTAGTTCAGTTCTAGTTCAGTTCTAGTTCAGTTCTAGTTCAGTTCTAGTTCAGTTCTAGTTCAGTTCTAGTTCAGTTCTAGTTCAGTTCTAGTTCAGTTCTAGTTCAGTTCTAGTTCAGTTCTAGTTCAGTTCTAGTTCAGTTCTAGTTCAGTTCTAGTTCAGTTCTAGTTCAGTTCTAGTTCAGTTCTAGTTCAGTTCTAGTTCAGTTCTAGTTCAGTTCTAGTTCAGTTCTAGTTCAGTTCTAGTTCAGTTCTAGTTCAGTTCTAGTTCAGTTCTAGTTCTAGTTCAGTTCTAGTTCAGTTCTAGTTCAGTTCTAGTTCAGTTCTAGTTCAGTTCTAGTTCAGTTCTAGTTCAGTTCTAGTTCAGTTCTAGTTCAGTTCTAGTTCAGTTCTAGTTCAGTTCTAGTTCAGTTCTAGTTCAGTTCTAGTTCAGTTCTAGTTCAGTTCTAGTCAGTTCTAGTTCAGTTCTAGTTCAGTTCAGTTCAGTTCTAGTTCAGTTGTAGTTCAGTTCTAGTTCAGTTCTAGTTCAGTTCTAGTTCAGTTCTAGTTCAGCTCTAGTTCAGTTCTAGTTCAGTCTAGTTCTAGTTCTAGTTAGTTCTAGTTCAGTTCTAGTTCAGTTCTAGTTCAGTTCTAGTTCAGTTCTAGTTCAGTTCTAGTTCTAGGTTAGTTCAAGTTTATTGCAACTCCAACTTGTTGCAAGTTAAGAGCGAGCCGAATTTGGCTTGACATCTATAAGTGGTCCTTCGCACTAAATATATTTAGATATTTACTTAAGATTAAAAGAAAAAACACATTAAATCTTAAATATTTAATACGTCATTTTATTATTATTATAAAAAAATTACAAAAATTTATATACAAAGGAAATTAAGAATAAATAAATCGAAAGCAAAAATTTGTATATAAATTAAATACTACTAAGGGAGAATAAAGAAAGGGGCAACTGAAAAGTTGCAAAAATATATTAATTTTTAAATTAATTTCAAAAAATATTCTATAACTAAAAGCGCCTCAGTAAGAAAAGAAGAAAAAATTACAAACTATACGCAGCCACGTACAAATTTTGCAAAATTATTAGAAATAATATAAATTTTGAAGAAAAAGCGCGCTTTTCTTTAAAAAAGAAAAAAATATTAATGAAAATTATAAATCATCTACTAGAAAATTAACTACTTTCCATGGAAACTACTGGAGAATTATGAATGAATATGTAATATATTTTAAATTTTATACTAGTTAAGAAAAACTGCGCGCAGTGTTAAAAAAATTAAATTAATTTAGTGGCAAATTAATGTTAAATAAAGGATATTTTATATGAAATTAAAGTTTTCCATAACAAAAAACCCGAGGCGTTAAGGTTTCAATGTGGAAAAACTTTTCATTTTAAGTGATAACTACCAAACACCGTTAAATTTAAATAATTATTTGTAAAGAAGAAGAAAAAAATTGCACTTGTCTCTTGTAACCCGAGTCCTTTGAAATTTTTAAACGAATGTGACTTTCTTTTTGGATGAAGTCCTTTAGGTAAAGAGCATACCGGCTGCTCTAGAAGAAGAAGTCTGAGTTGTATATTTCGCGCGAAACGGCGGTTGGCATTTGAAAACAATCAGCATGCCAAAGAACAGATAAATAACCGTTAAGAAAATCAGCATGGGAAAGGAGAACACCACGCGGGCCGTTAAAATTTTCGGTTTACGTTGGTCCAATGCTGAAGAAGGCACAAAAACTCCTAGAAATATCCATGATAATAATTTAGTTTACAACCAATTAATTACAACAAAAAGCACTCACCATTAACACTTTTCGATTCACAGCGCTCACCCACATAACCATCGGCACACTCACATGAAAACAGACTCTGATTGCCCATGGGCACTCGAAAGCAACGGCCGCCATTTAAACAGAAATCTGTGAGAAATTGACCCGTACAGGCAAACGATAATACATTGTCCATTATACTTTGATAGAAGTCAATCAATTGATAACCGGGATTTTCAGGATGTTTCTTATTCTGTTTCGCTACATCAGCCAATAATAGATCACTGATTTGTTTTCCCAAATCCCCAAAAGGTTTTATGTCTTCTAAACCTCCGCCTTTACTCTGCGGTGGTGGTCTATCCTTGCCGGAGGCTTCGGCTGTTTGATCTTCAGATGCCGACTCATCATCTGTATTGATGTTAATATGATGTTTGTTGTTGTTGATCAGTTCGCCGGCACCATTGTTGCTGTAGACATGTTGTTCGTATTTCTCATTTAATGGTTGACGACCATCATCATATTGTTGATATTGCTGCATTTTATGTTGTTGTATTATGTTAAAAGTTTGCTCTTTTAGGAATAAGATTCGGCTAGAACAACAATCTGGAAGACAAGAAATAAATGAAAAAAGTTAAATTCTAGTTCGGTTCTAATTCACTTCTAGTTCAGTTGAAGTTCAGCTCTAGTTGAGTCCTACTTCAGTTTTAGTTAAGTTTTAGTTCAGTTGTGATTTAGTACTAGTTCAGTCCTAATTCAGTACTAGTTCTGCACTACATCAGTTCTAGTACATTTCTAATTCAGTTTTGTTCTAGTTCTAATTCAGTTTTAATACAGTTCTAGTTCAATTCGAGTGCTGTTCTATTTCTGTTGTATTTCATTTAAAAATCTGTTCTAGATTAGTTTTACTTCAGTTTAAGTTTAGTTCTAATTCAGTTCTAGATCACTTATAGTTCTAGTTCTGTTGTAGATCAGTTCTAGTTCAGTTCTAGTTCAGTTTTAGTTCGGTTCTAGTTCAGTTCTAGTTCAGTGCTAATTCAGTTCTAGATCAGTTTTAGTTCCGTTCTAGTTCAGTTCTAGTTCAGTTCTAGTTCAGTTCTAGTTCAGTTCTAGTTCAGTTCTAGTTCAGTTCTAGTTCAGTTCAAGTTCAGTTTTAGTTCAGTTCTAGTTCAATTCTAGTTCAGTTCTAGTTCAGTTCTAGTTCAGTTCTACTTCAGTTCTAGTTCAGTTCTAGTTCAGTTCTAGTTCAGTTCTAGTTCAGTTCTAGTTCAGTTCTAGTTCAGTTTTAGTTCAGTTTTAGTTCAGTTCTAGTTCAGTTCTAGTGCAGTTCTAGTTCAGTTCTAGTTCAGTTCTAGCTTAGTTCTAGCTTAGTTCTAGCTTAGTTCTAGTTCAGTTCTAGTTCAGTTCTAGTTCAGCTCTAGCTTAGTTCTAGTTCAGTTCTAGTTCAGTTCTAGTTCAGTTCTAGTCAGTTCTAGTTCAGTTCTAGTTCAGTTCTAGTTCAGTTCTAGTTCAGTTCTAGTTCAGTTCTAGTTCAGTTCTAGTCAGTTCTAGTTCAGTTCTAGTTCAGTTCTAGTTCAGTTCTAGTTCAGTTCTAGTTCAGTTCTAGTTCAGTTCTAGTTCAGTTCTAGTTCAGTTCTAGTTCAGTTCTAGTTCAGTTCTAGTTCAGTTCTAGTTCAGTTCTAGTTCAGTTAGTTCAGTTCTAGTTCAGTTCTAGTTCAGTTCTAGTTCAGTCTAGTTCAGTTCTAGTTCAGTTCTAGTTCAGTTCTAGTTCAGTTCTAGTTCAGTTCTAGTTCAGTTCTAGTTCAGTTCTAGTTCAGTTCTAGTCAGTTCTAGTTTCAAGTTTCAGTTCTAGTTCAGTTTAGTTCAGTTCTAGTTCAGTTCTAGTTCAGTTCTAGTTCATTTCTAGTTCAGTTCTAGTTCAGTTCTAGTTCAGTTCTAGTTCAGTTCTAGTTCATTTCTAGTGCAGTTCTAGTGCAGTTCTAGTGCAGTTTCTAGTTCAGTTCTAGTTCAGTTCTAGTGCAGTTCTAGCTTAGTTCTAGTGCAGTTCTAGTGCAGTTCTAGTGCAGTTCTAGTTCAGTTCTAGTTCAGTTCTAGTTCAGTTCTAGTTCAGTTCTAGCTTAGTTCTAGTTCAGTTCTAGTTCAGTTCAGTTCTAGTTCAGTTCTAGTTCAGTTCTAGTTCTAGTTCAGTTCTAGTTCAGTTCTAGTTCAGTTCTAGTTCAGTTCTAGTTCAGTTCTAGTTCAGTTCTAGTTCAGTTCTAGTTCAGTTCTAGTTCAGTTCTAGTTCAGTTCTAGTTCAGTTCTAGTTCAGTTCTAGTTCAGTTCTAGTTCAGTTCTAGTTCAGTTCTAGTTCTTTTCAAGTTCAGTTCTAGTTCAGTTCTAGTTCAGTTCTAGTTCAGTTCTAGTTCAGTTCTAGTTCAGTTCTAGTTCAGTTCTAGTTCAGTTCTAGTTCAGTTCTAGTTCAGTTCTAGTTCAGTTCTAGTTCAGTTCTAGTTCAGTTCTAGTTCAGTTCTAGTTCAGTTCTAGTTCAGTTCTAGTTCAGTTCTAGTTCTAATTCAGTTCCAGTTTAGTTCTAGTTCAGTTCTAGTTCAGTTCTAGTTCAGTTCTAGTTCAGTTTTACTTCAGTTCTAGTTCAGTTCTAGTTCATTTCTAGTTCATTTCTAGTTCAGTTCTAGTTTCAGTTCTAGTTCTGTTCTAGTTCTGTTCTAGTTCAGTTCTAGTTCAGTTCTAGTTCAGTTCTAGTTCAGTTCTAGTTCAGTTCTAGTTCAGTTCTAGTTCAGTTCTAGTTCAGTTCTAGTTCAGTTCTATTTCAGTTCTATATCAGTTCTAGTTCAGTTCTAGTTCAGTTCTAGTTCAGTTCTACTTCAGTTCTAGTTCAGTTCTAGTTCAGTTCTAGTTCAGTTCTAGTTCAGTTCTAGTTCAGTTCTAGTTCAGTTCTAGTTCAGTTCTAGTTCAGTTCTAGTTCAGTTCTAGTTCAGTTCTAGTTCAGTTCTAGTTCAGTTCTAGTTCAGTTCTAGTTCAGTTCTAGTTCAGTTCTAGTTCAGTTCTAGTTCAGTTCTAGTTCAGTTCTAGTTCAGTTCTAGTTCAGTTCTAGTTCAGTTCTAGTTCAGTTCTAGTTCAGTTCTAGTTCAGTTCTAGTTCAGTTCTAGTTCAGTTCTAGTTCAGTTCTAGTTCAGTTCTAGTTCAGTTCTAGTTCAGTTCTAGTTCAGTTCTAGTTCAGTTCTAGTTCAGTTCTAGTTCAGTTCTAGTTCAGTTCTAGTTCAGTTCTAGTTCAGTTCAAGTTCAGTTCTAGTTTAATTCTAGTTCAGTTCTAGTTCAGTTTCTAGTTCAGTTCTAGTTCAGTTCTAGTTCAGTTCTAGTTCAGTTCTAGTTCAGTTCTAGTTCAGTTCTAGTTCAGTTCTAGTTGAGTTCTAGTTCAGTTCATTTCTAGTTGAGTTCTAGTTCATTTCTAGTTGAGTTCTAGTTCAGTTCTGTTCTACTTCAATTCTAGTTCAGTGCTAGTTCAGTTATAGTTTTAGTTCTAGCTCAGTTCTAGTTCAGATTTAATTCAGTTCTAGTTCAGTTTTACTTCAGTTCTAGATCAGTTCTTGCATAATTTTAGTTCAGTTTAATTTCAGTTCTAGTTCAGTGCTCCAGTGAATTTTTTTAAAATAAACAAAATAAGCAAATATTATTTAAAATGTTTTCTAAATTGTATTTCGCTAAGTGATCATGCATTTATTTTCATTCTCCCTGTATTTTACTTTCTCTTGCTCTTTCTATTTTCTTTATGTCACTATTTCATTGACATTTCTTGAATATAGTTGGCTGTCATTATGACATTCTTTGTCAGTCATACAACTATAAACATCAATGAATTGAAATACATATTTGTATTTAATGATCACTGAAGATCAATGAACAGAAAATCATTCAAAAATGTTTCTTATAATTTATTTAAATCACCTGTAACTGCGACAATTGTTGACAGCATGAATATTACTCTTAGCAAATTTTTCGAAATTTGCATTGCGTTTGTAACAATGTTTCTATATTTCCGAAATTCCGTAGATAATGATAATGATCACCACTAGCAGCGTTCGCCAGGAAGCGCCGTAGTAGCAATGAAAATCACTTTTTTAAAAATGTAATTTTAAGAAATTTTCTTATTTTAACGAGGTTATTGCAAAATAAGGGTTTCACAAGCACGTGTATTAAATTGTAAACATTATAGAAATTTTTGAAAATTTAAAAATGTTTTGAAGTTACTATTTATTTTTAAATAATGCCGCACATCTTTGTCAAGTAAAATATGAACTTTTTCTTTTTAAGAAACACCGAAATTTTTGTTTTTATTACATTTTCTTAAAAAAAAATTAAGAAAATGTTTAACTAAAACATTTTATGGTTTGTTTTTATTTTTATGTTTTTTTTTTTTTAACGACCCGACAATTTATTTTCTTTTGGGCGGCCTTTCCACCATTAGACAAAACGGAAAGTAGATGCGTTGAAGCAAAAAAAAAAAAAAAATTAATGCGTTCAAAAATAGACGAAAAAACGAAGACGCGTAGCGTTAAAAGATCGCTAAAGATTTATAGAACTTTATCAATGATCGTACGATGTGAGACTAGAAGACAAATTTACTAGAGCAGCCCGCTGGTTGCCAAAAAAAAAAAAAATAAGGCATAAAGAAAACATCAGGAGATGTTGACATTTTTTGTTTTTGTTTTTAATTTTAAAATTTATCGTACTTTTTCTTAGAAATTAAAAATTTAGAGAGCGAGAGTTATTAAATAAAAAGTGATCATTCAAATAATATTTATTTACCATATTTTACTCAATAGTGGATTAGTTGTAGACAATATTTATAAAAAACTATGCTAATTTTTTACAACAGAATGAGTTTTGGATATCTCTCTTCCGTTGAGTAAAATTTAATTTAGAAGAGATAAAGAGCAAGAGCGTAAGAATTTTCTTAAAAGTTTTGTCACTGTTTTTCTTTTATCAATTTATACTTAATTTAGCAAAAGAAATGGGATATTACAGAAAAATAGGCATAGTTGTATTTTTTGGTAGGAAGAAAACAGTTTAGTACCAATTGGACCTATCGCTCGGTCAAGATTATGCGATTTGACTGATCGCGTATGTAAAAGTCTTTATTTTACATTTCTTTACAGGAAATTTTTCAGTTCAGTTCTAGTTCAGTTCTATTTCAGTTCTAGTACAGTTCTACTTCAGTTCTAGTTTAGATATAGTTCAGTTCTAGTTCAGTTTTAGTTCGGTTCTATTTCAGTTCTAGCTCAGTTCTAGTTCAGTTCTAGTTCAGTTCTAGTTCAGTTCTAGTTCAGTTCTAGTTCAGTTCTAGTTCAGTTCTAGTTCAGTTCTAGTTCAGTTCTAGTTCAGATCTAGTTCAGTTCTAGTTCAGTTCTAGTTCAGTTCTAGTTCAGTTCTAGTTCAGTTCTAGTTCAGTTCTAGTTCAGTACTAGTTCAATTCTAGTTCAGTTATAGTTCAGTTCTAGTTCAGTTCTAGTTCAGTTCTAGTTCAGTTCTAGTTCAGTTCTAGTTCAATTCTAGTTCAGTTTCTAGATCAGTTCTAGTTCAGTTCTAGTTCAGTTCTAGTTCAGTTCTAGTTCAGTTCTAGTTCAGTTCTAGTTCAGTTCTAGTTCAGTTCTAGTTCAGTTCTAGTTCATTCTAGTTCAGTACTAGTTCAATTCTAGTTCAGTTCTAGTTCAGTTCTAGTTCAGTTCTAGTTCAGTTCTAGTTCAGTTCTAGTTCAGTTCTAGTTCAGTTCTAGTTCAGTTTCTAGTTCAGTTCTAGTTCAGTTCTAGTTCAGTTTCTAGTTCAGTTCTAGTTCAGTTCTAGTTCAGTTCTAGTTCAGTTCTAGTTCAGTTCTAGTTCAGTTCTAGTTCAGTTCTAGTTCAGTTCTAGTTCAGTTCTAGTTCAGTTCTAGTTCAGTTCTAGTTCAGTTCTAGTTCAGTTCTAGTTCAGTTCTAGTTCAGTTCTAGTTCAGTTCTAGTTCAGTTCTAGTTCAGTTCTAGTTCAGTTCTAGTTCAGTTCTAGTTCAGTTTTAGTTCATTTCTAGTTCAGTTCTAGTTCAGTTCTAGTTCAGTTCTAGTTCAGTTCTAGCTCAGTTTTAGTTCAATTCTAGTTCAGTTTTAGTTCAGTTCTAGTTCAGTTCTAGTTCAGTTCTAGTTCAGTTCTAGTTCAGTCTAGTCAGTTCTAGTCAGTTCTAGTTCAGTTTCTAGTTCAGTTCTAGTTCAGTTCTAGTTCAGTTCTAGTTCAGTTCTAGTTCAGTTCTAGTTCAGTTCTAGTTCAGTTCTAGTTCAGTCCTAGCTTAGTTCTAGTTCAGTTCTAGTTCAGTTCTAGTTCAGTTCTAGTTCAGTTCTAGTTCAATTCTAGTTCAGTTCTAGTTTCAGTTCTAGTTCAGTTCTAGTTCAGTTTCTAGTTCAGTTCTAGTTCAGTTCTAGTTCAGTTCTAGTTCAGTTCTAGTTCAGTTCTAGTTCAGTTCTAGTTCAGTTCTAGTTCAGTTCTAGTTCAGTTCTAGTTCAGTTCTAGTTCAGTTCTAGTTCAGTTCTAGTCAGTTCTAGTTCAGTTCTAGTTCAGTTCTAGTTCAGTTCTAGTTCAGTTCTAGTTCAGTTCTAGTCAGTTTCTAGTTCAGTTCTAGTTCAGTTCTAGTTCAGTTCTAGTTCTAGTTCAGTTCTAGTTCAGTTCTAGTTCAGTTCTAGTTCAGTTCTATTCAGTTCTAGTTTAGTTCTAGTTCAGTTCTAGTTCTAGTTCAGTTCTTGTCATTTCTTGTCACTTCTAGTTCAGTTCTAGTTCAGTTCTAGTTCAGTTCTAGTTCAGTTCTAGTTCAGTTCTAGTTCAGTTCTAGTTCAGTTCTAGTTCAGTTCTAGTTCAGTTCTAGTTCAGTTCTAGTTCAGTTTCTAGTTCAGTTCTAGTTCAGTTCTAGTTCAGTTCTAGTTCAGTTCTAGTTCAGTTCTAGTTCAGTTCTAGTTCAGTTCTAGTTCAGTTCTAGTTCAGTTCTAGTTCAGTTCTAGTTCAGTTCTAGTTCAGCTCTAGTTCTGTACTAGTTCAGTTCTTGTTCAGATCTAGTTCAGTTCTAGTTCAGTTCTAGTTCAGTTCTAGTTCAGTTCTAGTTCAGTTCTAATTCAGTTCTAGTTCATTTCTAGTTCAGTTCTAGTTCAGTTCTAGTTCAGTTCTAG